ACAAACAATTAAATCACAACAAGGTAAGTCTGAGACAGCACCCATTGATAAAGAACAGTTTCATTTTCCCGAAGAATGGTGTACATTGACCACAACATTGCAATTCACACCGTAATGAATGAATATATTGAGAGTTGTTTAAAGTAAATTTATTATTGAGAGTAAAAGACTTTTTAAAACCTTGACAAAACAATTATGCCTATACTAAATTACAATAAAAAAAAGTCCAAAGTGCCCCCCCCCCACCCCCACCTTTTGTATTTTCTACATACTTACCTTAATTTCAATATTATAATATTATAATGAACATGTAAAACTTTCAATGAATTTTATAAAGAAAACTACTTACTACTCATATAAATATGAGAAAAGTGTTATTATCAAAAGTCAACCAACCTGTGCATAAATTATTTCTATACAGCCTTAAATAACCACATTTTTTTATCAGCTTGACTTAAAGGAGATATCTTTATGGGAATTAGCAATTGGAAGATTTATCAGATAGCTATGGTGGAAATTTGAATAATGAATTAGCAAATAATATATTCATAGTACAGTTGGAATGTTAGATCACATAGGTATATACTGTTTTTATTTTCTTTTTTCTTTTTTTTAATATATCAAGATAACAATTAATATTATAATGTTGTTATGTTGGGTTAAAAATATTTACAATAACTTCATTAAAATAGTTTTTTATTTTCTTTCTTTTTATACGCCCGTTTGAAAAACGGGACGTATTATGGGAACGCCCCTGCCGGGCGGGCGGTCGGGCGGCGTCCAATTTTGTCCGGAGCATATCTCCTACATGTATGGAGGGATTTTAATGAAACTTCATAGAAATGTTCACCACTATGAGGAGCAGTGTCGCGCACATGAACCAGGTCTCTAGGTCAAAGGTCAAGGTCACACTTAGAGCTCATTGAAAAATGCTTGTCCGGAGCAAAACTTCCACATGTATAGAGGGATTTCAATATTACTTGGCACAAATGTTCACCATTGTGAGGCGGAGTGTCGCGCGCAAGATTCAGGTCCTTCCGGCCAAGGTCAAGGTCACACATAGAGGTCAAAGTTCAGATAAAAATATGAAGATGTGTATATGGACCATTTAGTCATCATTTATAGAGGGATTGTAACACAAATGGTCATTATCAAGACTATGGCTGTGATACATATAATTTAGGTCAATATATACAAGGTCAAGGTCACTAAAGATGATGAAATATCCAGATTTTGTCCGGAGCATATCTCCTACATGTATGGAGGGATTTTAATGAAACTTCATAGAAATGTTCACCACTATGAGGAGCAGTGTCGCGCTCATGAACCAGGTCTCTAGGTCAAAGGTCAAGGTCACACTTAGAGCTCATTGAAAAACACTTGTCCGGAGTAAAACTTCCACATGTATAGAGGGATTTCAATAATACTTGACACAAATGTTCACCATTGTGAGACGGAGTGTCGCGCGCAAGAATCAGGTCCTTTCGGCCAAGGTCAAGGTCACACATAGAGGTCAAAGTTCAGATAAAAATATGGTGATGTGTATATGGACCATTTAGTCATCATTTATTGAGGGATTGTAACACAAATGGTCATTATCAAGACTATGGCTGTGATACATATAATTTAGGTCAATATATACAAGGTCAAGGTCACTAAAGATGATGAAATAACCAGATTTTGTCCGGAGCATATCTCCTACACACATGGAGGGATTTTAATGAAATTTCATAGAAATGTTCACCATTATGAGAAGCCATGTCACGCACATGAACTAGGTCTCTAGGTCAAAGGTCAAGGTCACACTTAGAGCTCATTGAAAAATGCTTGTCCGGAGCAAAACTTCCACATGCATAGAGGGATTTCAATATAACTTGGCACAAATGTTCACCATTGTGAGGCGGAGTGTCGCGCACAAAATTCAGGTCCCTGCAGCCAAGGTCAAGGCCACACATAGAGGTCAAAGTTCAGATAAAAATATGAAGATGTGTATAGGGACGATTTAATCATCATTTATTGAGGGATTGTAACACAAATGGTCATTATCATGACTACGGCTATGACACATGTACTTTAGGTCAATATATGCAAGGTCAAGGTCACTAAAGATGGTGAAATATCCAGATTTTGTCTGGAGCATATCTCCTACATGTATGGAAGAATTTTAATAATACTTTATGGAAATGTTCACCACCATGATATGTATTGCTCCATGCATGATCCAGGTCTCCAGGTCAAAGGTCAAGGTCACACTTAGAGCTCATTGAAAAACGCTTGTCCGGAGCAAAACTTCTACATTCATAGGGGGATTTCAATATAACTTGGCACAAATGTTCACCATTGTGAGGCTGAGTGTTGCACGCAAAATTCAGATCCCTGCGACCAAAGTCAAGGTTACACATAGAGGTCAAAGTTCAGATAAAAATTTGAAGATGTGTTTAGGGACCATTTAGTCATCATTTATTGATGGATTGTAGCACAAATGGTAACTATCATGACTACAGGTGTGACACATTTAATTTAGGTTAATATTTGCAAGGTCAAGGTCACTGGAGATGATTAAATATCCAGAAGTTGTCCGGAGCATATTTTCTACATGCATGGAGGAATTTTAATGTTACTTTATAGAATTGTTCACCACCATGAGATGAGTGCCCTGCACATGAACCAAGTCTCTAGGTCAAAGGTGAAGGTCACAGTTAGAGCTCATAGCAAAACGCTTGTCTGGAGCAAAACTTCTACATGCATAGAGAGATTTCAATATAATTTGGCATAAATGTTCATCATTGTGAGGCTGAGTGCCGTGCATTATTCAGGTCCCTGCGACCAAGGTCAAGGTCACACATCCTGTGCATATCTTCCCTACTGATTTGTTTTAAGGTTCATTTAACAACACAGTGCCAAGGATAAAAACTTGCTTGCTAGATAACACTTATCCATAATGCCCCCATCTCAATCTAAAGCTTTCGTAAACGGGCGTATTTTGTGACTATGGCACCCTTGTTTTAAGATATAAAGATAAAGATTATTATTATACTGTTGTTATGTCATGTTAAAGTTATTTACAACAAATTTAATTTAAAGTAGCTTCACTCTCAACAATACATTTAATTTATTAACAATGTCTATAAATTTTTAACAATGCCTTGAAATTATTAATGATACATTTACTTTTAAAAAATAAATTTAATCTCTTAACAATACCTTTAAATTATTAACAAAACCTTGACTATATGTTTTTTTCATGCTCTTTGCAATAAACTGATGATAAAAGGTTTTTTTTGTTCAGACTGAAAAGAAATGAATATTTCATTATTACCATAGACAGTTTGGGAAATCTCTCCTGACATGCATTTTATCACAGTGGTTCAATTGTTCTAACACTTCCTAAATGCATTGTCTATTGTAAATCTATGGCTCAGGAGTGTCTACAAATACTGCCTTGTTTTTTTAATGACTGTGTCTGGGACTTTAAGATGTATGTACAGTACAATATTGATACATTGATTGATGAAAACAGTAATTAAATCTATACAGCAGACGATAATTACACAAGATGGTGGCATTAAACTATAGGCTTACATCTCTTTTGTAAAGTTAATCAGTGATGGAAAAGCTGACATGAAATTAACATGGTGAAAAACTGTGATACAATCAACTTTCTCTAAAAAGTATATCTTAAAGCTGCTGTTTGTTTCATTTTACGCCTTTTCCTAACAGTATTTCAGTCATATAGGCGGGTAGTTTCCTAACCATCGTTCCTGGAGAGTTACACCAGTACTAGACTACCTTCCTCCGTGCTAAACTACCAAAGAGGAAGGTCAGACAGAAATATAATAGACAAAAAACAACATTTAACATTTAATTTCATAACATACATTTCCCTTATTTTTAATGAAATTGTATTTACTTTTGTTATCTGTACAGTATCAGAGAGATATTTTAATATTTTTATGTAAATATTTTTTTTGCAATGTTATCTTTTGGCATTCAATCAAGACTATTACACAAAGTGACATCTGCATTACTTCAGATGACCTTTCTAAATATCAACAAGTTGCTTGTTTTATTATGGTAGGTTATAAATAATGGCACTTTACCAGTTATGCAAAAGTAACCTGTAGACACTAGACAGCCGAGTGGCTTCCATCCATCATTAAATCAAAAATTTACCTGGCCATAGAGGACATGATTCAAGTTTTCAGCCAGTATCTAAATAAACCTTGGAGAGCTTTCTGTGATAATGACAGATCTATGCCATCCGTTAGTCAGGCCAGCCTGCAGAACATCTGTTAATGTCTTTCCATTCTAGAAAGACAGCTACCTTAAATCTTAGAATTTGGAAACTTTAGTTCAAAATCTTTTAGTTCTCTTAACTGGTAGAGGAAGACCTCAAGTGCCACTCTGTACATTTTTTCAGGCACCTGAGTATACATCTAATGAAAGAGGTCTTTAGATTTGGACCTAACAGATGAAAAAGATGGTTAAAGTGACTGGCAAATGAGTAAAAATAAGAATTAAGCATTTTTGAGGCATTAATGGGCCTTTAATCTGAAATTCCATAATAATTCTATATAAACACCCAATGACCTTTTTCTGATTAACATACAGTAGTTGTAAACTATTTGTAATTCCTTTCTTTCATGAGCAGCTAGCATGTTTTGCTCTAATAATAGATTAATCTGATACACCAGGTCCTAGCCTATAATTGTTTATGATTTAATCATTGATCAATGTATGATAATGCTTCTAAATTACCAAGATTTCTTTCTTAATATATGCTTGTAAAACCGTCTATATACCATATATTAATAACTTTGAAATACTAATCTTTATTTCTGACAACAGTATACACATGTAAATAATTAAGGATTGTTTAGAAATTATGCCTTTTTTTCCTAATTTATAGAACTTTCATATATGATTATGTGGGTCTAATTTTGGAATACTTCTGGGGTTTTTTTTCACCATTGTTCTAATGGTTACTATTTTATTTTCAGGTGGGAGGTGAGACTATCTACATGCCTCAGGAATAAGGAAGTTTATATACTGACTCAGAAGTCAGAAAAAAAAACCAAGAAGAAAAACTATATGAAATCTACAACAGTGATAAACATCTCTACAACGTATTTTATCTACTTTATCAAAGTGGGGGAGTCCAGGTGATCTGGATCCAATCTGCATCATACAAATGCTTGCTTTCTTAAATGAATTGTACTGGCATGTACACAGACCTGTGTGAGTAGGAATACTAGAAGGAAAATGTATGGAAAGTAAAGTGCAGTGTGTAAAAAATGTGTGATAGTGTGTTTTTAAGTGGATAACACTTAAAGTTTGCCACTGATGAATAAAGTGAATGTGAAATAAAAGTTGAAGTGGAAATATTAAAAGTGAAAAGTCTATTTCCCACATGTTGGATACATGTATATTTATGTGGCTATTGTCAAACGTGCTTCTGTACATGGATTATCATATCAGTTTTCATTGCCAGATAGTATTGCTGTATAAAAAATGGATCTAAAAAGGTGTGTAAGTAATATTACTATGTTTGTTTTTAAGGCAATTTTATGTGTCTGCGTTTTGGCACATACTGTGTGTTTGTTGCCGATTGTGCCAGATTCCGTCCACAACCACTTACGTCGTAGTCTTCCTAATCATCAATCTAGTCCAATTGTATCCGGACGTGAAACTTTTGTGCAATATTCCCTAGCTGATAAGCCCTCAGGACAAACACACCTTGCCAAACATGCTGGTGCTCAACGAATACCATCAATGCCACACAGTGCCAAACAAGTTCACTCCGATTCAATCAACCATTCACCTGACTATGCAAATGAAAACATTGTAAATTCCACACACACACGTTCTTCCCCGAATTTTAACTCCAGCAAGATTGGGAAACATTCCAAGAATTCAAGGAGCGGGGGATTAAAGACAAAAACTGCTCAAATTCCTCGCAGAAATTCTCTACCTTTGCAATATGAATCAGACACTTATAATGCTCCGAACTCTCTCGAAAACATCAACAAGAATGTTGATGTGCAATTGAACGTTTTAAATGATAACAACAATAGAGTGGAGAATGATATGAGAATAGAAAACAGTGAAAGTTTGCAACTGGCCGTTCAAAGTGGTAACAGTGAAGTTGACGGACAAACCGAAGTTTCCGACACCATGTTGGCTGTAGCTTCAGGTGTTGTGGCTTTGTTCAGTGTGGGGGTTATCATTGGAATATTTAGTTGTTGCTGTAAGAAGAAACCACAAAATGAAGAAGAGGAAAAGCTCGACATGCTAGATAGAGATGGAAATAAAGAGACTGAGGAAGAGGACTCAAAGGCTAATACTGAAAGATCATTGGTCGATAGCAAGAAACCATCACAAGTGTTCAATTCCAGGTAATTTTAGTACAGTGTTTATAAAGGACAATACAGAAAGTAAGCTGATCTGAAAGATAAAATTGCATTTGCCTTACAAACATCCTATTGGTTACTTAGATAAAGTATTATGGTTCTATTGGATACTTAAATTATGGTTTTATAATAGACTTCTACTTGTTACTTAAATCAGATATTACAGTACTGTTGGTTACTTAATTAGGTACATGTATTAGAATAATAATTATAAGTGAATTAAATTAGGTATTATTGGTTATACTAAAATTGTGTATTCTGGTATTATTGGTTTCTTAAATTATGTATTACAGTTTGTTACTTAATGAGGTATTGCTGTGCTATTGGTTACTTGACTTTGGTATTATAGACTATGCAGGTTACTAACGTATTGGCTACTTAGATCAGGTATTGTGGTGCTATTGGTTACCAAAATTAGGTATTACTGTGTTACTGGTAACTTACATTAGGTTTTATGTTACTATTTATTACTCATATTAGGTATTATGATACTATTGGTTACTGGACTAGGTTTCATGGCACTATTTCAATACTCAAATTTGGTATTACGGTACTATTTCATAAATGTACTTAAATTAGCTTTTATAGCACTGGAATCCCTTAAACTCACAAATGGGCATGTCATTTTCCTACGTCCATTCAAGGCAATACCAATTTACACAGATTCAGTTTGGTCAAGGGTCAATTTAAAGAACAATACACAATGATACTATCATAAATGAGTGACTTTACTAGAAATACCACATCCTATTTGTCATTTTACTCCACAAAAATCTTGAACACAAAATTTCTGGTTTCTTCTGAGAAATACATCTTTATTTCATATTTATCAGTGTATCATTATTGTAGTTTTAAGAGCTTGAAACATGATTAAATCTAAGTCTACAATGCTCAAGAAAAAAAATCATCAAGCAATTATGTTGTGCAGATATTTACATCTGGTTGTATGTTTATCATGTAAATATTTGCACGGGTGTAGTGTTTAGTGGCTGATAGTAAAAGCTTGCATATTTGCACCCACTTGGTAAGCACAGATTAAACTGCATCAAATTCATTGATATTAGGAAGCTGTCAAGATAGCTTAAAAGTAAAATAAATTGTCCTGATCTACCATGCCTGAAAACTGAAAGGGGTACCTGGCCTAGCAGCTAAATTTTAGTATTTCAACTTTGACCAAAAAAAGAGAGAAAACACTTTTCTAATTTCTAAGCATGGTATTGTAAGCCTGGTATGCTTACACATAACACTCACAATTATCATATTTGCATATTAATTACCTATATCAAGCTGAGTAAAAGTATTTGCTTACCCATTACATAAATGTACTCAGTTTGGTAAAGATATTTGCTTTCAATTACCTATATCAAGATAGGTAAAGGTGTTTGCTTACTAATTACATTTACTCAGTTGGGTAAAGATATTTACTAAATAACAATTACATTACACTTGACTGGGTAAAGGTTTAAATACAGAATTATACTAATTAAATCATTGTTTGTTGACAGTGGTATACCTGAAGGGGAGAAAGACCTTGATGATACCATTTCCTTCAAGGATAAAATAAAGGCTTTAGACAACAAACTCATCATTCAGCCATCCCCGGACAAGCGCAAGTCTCTACTGGCAGAGCAGGCAGAGAAGCGTAAGTCTCAGTTGACAGCGGACCAGCCGGCCAACAGACTGTCTCAGCACTCTCCAGATGTAGCTACCAAAAGGAAGTCTCAAAACGAGGCAAATATGGTCAACAGTATTACAGGACTGGTGAGTCTGTCATTCTTGTTTTATATTTAGTCTAAAGATGGTTAATATAAACTGACCTTTAACATTGTCATAGGTTGAGAAAAAAGTGCAGCCTGACCAGGACTCAAACCGGGAACTCTCAGAATATGCACCACAACTTACCGACTTAGCAATCTGGCTGCCCCTAATATTAAGTGAACATTTCTAAACCATGAAAACTAAATGTATCTTTTAACATGGAATTAAATGGAATACATTAACTATTTCAAATGCTTCTCAGTCTATAATCGGGTACCCATGTAAAAAGCAAAGTATAACGCAAAGTTTCCAATTTGATTTTATGGTCCTTTAAGAGAACTTAGCAGAACTTGTCTTGTGGTATTTAAATACTTCTATAAATGCGATGCAATAAATGTAATGATGTGAATATCATGTCACTTAACACATCAACAAAAACAAATCAGATTCATTCATTTAATGTCAAACATATAAAGGTGAACAGTAGAGGCATTTTTGTTTGAAGACTCATTCTCTCTAGTATTTTTGGAGTGTTTACAGTAGTAAAGAATGTAAGTAACAGAATGTAAGCATGATTACATCATGATTATTTTGACATTAATATCAGTGTGTATGGTAAATAAAGAATGCAGGCAGTGAATCTGTTCTCTTCGCAAAGTAATACATTTATAAGTATCATTACAACAGTTATACAGATAGTAAATATATTTGAAGATATTTTACAAACATTTTTTCCTGTGATAAATGACCTATCAAATTATCAATATATGCTGGACTACAGTCAACTATTAAGATGTAAAGAAATATTAGCTGGAAGGTTGATTTGTGACAGATTAAGTGAATTTACATACAGATCCTATGACTGATCCTAGTAAGATACTGACTACCACAAAAATATGTAAACATGTATATATAAATATATATACATCTTAACTAAGTCAAAGCTGAGTCACCTTCCAGTGATCACATGTATCAAGGTTTACATTTCAAGATATGTTTTTTGCACTTTTTCTGTTAGTGTATTGAGTTACACTCAGTTACTTTAATTGTGTGTCAAATTGATGTTTGTTACCCCTAAGCACAGGTGGCAGTATCAGTGTTTGGACACCCACCCCTATCTGCCCCTGGACCCTTACTACAACCCTGAAAAAAAAAATTCAACACTCTAAGGCTTACTATAAGGTATCAAATACAAAACCACCGATGAAATTATATATAAAAAATTTTTTTTCCACTATCAAAATTATAGTTATAGAAAGGTGAAAAGCCTACTATATGTTCATTTGCCAAACAATGTGGAACACGGGAAATCGTCGTTTCGGTGACTGAGGCGCATTCCGAAGGCATTTTGCTGCATCATTCATTTACATCAATAAAAAGAACTTGAATTCCACAGCTTACTTAATTCAAGTTTAACGAATATCAATATTCTATCGATTTTTTCTATTTTACGGTAATTTTTGACTTGTCACTGCCATTTTGGATTCTGATACCTGTGTGTTATACGCGATCTGATTGGACGTCAAATTTGGCTCGTCCAATCAGATCGCGTATTTCAACCCAGGTATCAGACTGCAAAATGGCTACGACAATTCAAAAAATACCGTGAAGCAGAAAAAATCGGAATGATAGTGATATTCGTTAGACTTGAATTAGATAAGCTGTGGAATTCTAGTTCTTTTTATTTAAGTAAATGAATGATGCAGCGAAATCCTGCCGGAATGCGCCTCAGTCACCGAAACGACGATTTCCCCGTGTTCCACATTGTTTGGCAAATGAACATATAGTATGCTTTTCACCTTTCTATAACTATAATTTTGATAGTGGAAATTTTTTTTTTTATATATAATTTCATCGGTGGTTTTGTATTTGGTACCTTATAGTAAGCCTTAGGGTGTTCAATTATTTTTTTATTTTCAGGGTTGTAGTAAGGGTCCAGGGGCAGATAGGGGTGTGATGTCCAAACACTGATACTGCCACCAGTGCCCCTAAGAGCACAAAAAAATTTATTTTCATTTTCTTCAAAGCAGGTTCACTGCATCTGATGAGCAAGAAATCAATTTGGTGTGATGAGCAAGAAATCAATATGGTGTGGCCTAACTTAAAAATGAACAATGTTAAAAAAAATTCAAGACTTTTGTTTCAATGACACATAAGAACTATGCAAAATAGTATGCACTTCTCATCATTAATGAAAAGTTTCTCTCCAAAAAACAACAACAACCTTAAAATCCTTCCCCTTGCCTATCTGACAATATTCAACTGACAAAATCAGACCCCTTGATTCCTTACTTCTAAAAGGGACAATTAAAATCTGTCAAATTTTGGAAACGTATTTCAAGTGTGCATAAAATCTGCAGGTTTTTCCATGGTCAACCTCTCAATTCATGTTGACATCCAGGACTTCAGTGTCCCATGTGACATTAACGATGATGATCGATACAAAATGTAGGGTGCACTCAAGTATTTAATATGACATGATTGAGGGTTATTGATTGTGTACCAGCGTAAATCTGATGACATTTGTGTCAAGCAGCAGGCACAAGCTGCTAATCTAGTTATGAATACATTAGTGCCGCACTTAGGCCAGAAAAATAGACTATATTTTGTTCTTCCTTTCTTAAAAAGTTTTGTTATCACAATAGACTTTTCTGTAGAGACAAATAAATATGAAGGAAGTTTTTTTTTTTTAAATATGCCTATGAAATCTGAATCAAAAACACACCATCTTTAACATATCAAATAATTAATATCGTACCTGTGGTAAAAGACCATCAATTTCTTACAATTATGACTGTCATCATTTGCTGCAGAATAAAATGTAAAGCCATTGATAAAGGACCATTTACTACTCTCATGTCATAGTGCTACAGAATAAGGTATTTTGTTTACAAAATTTATAAATCTGTCATCAAGCTATTTTTCCATATAGGTATCATTACATAAAATTTTTGCAGAGAGATCCTGTCAATATCTTTCAGAAAACACGAAAAAATCGAGCCCTACCAATGAAATATACAGTAAAACCTCTACAGAGCAAACCTCTGTTGAGCCATTACCTCGTTACAACAATAGTATCAGATAACCTTTCTGGAGCAACACCTCTCAGCCACAATCTTTCTCAAAAGAATTTTGCTCTGCAGAGGTGATACTTATACTGAGGAATACTGATTCAATCTTTTCCTAATTTCAGCCAAAGCAGCCAAAAATTGTGGTATCCGAGGATGATGACGTTCAATCACGAGACAAAGATGGTTCAAGAAGTGCTGGTGACAATATTAGCAAGAGTGATACACAAGATGACATCTCCGACAAAATATTTGATAATCTCTCCATGCACAGGTACTGTGTTTATTAATATATCAGAAAAAATTAACTTCATTGTTATTATCAAACTCTAGTATATTGGACATTATATAGAAGAACTACCAAAACATCTCAACACAAAGACAAAAGCCCCTTTGGTAAAATTTCAATTATTAGTAAAATCACCAATATAATCCCTACAACAGTTCATATACCACAACAAAGTCTGGGACTCGACAATACCAGTACAAGTTAAACATATCAAAATCATATAAAAGTAACATGTATAATCTTGTAAAATTCAGTGGAACAACACACTGACAGTTGCTACTGGCACAGCAGTCATTCAAAACCATTGTTTCATAATGAATATGCAAATAGCTTTTATCATTAAATTGCTCGTACTGACTTAGAGCCTAATCAGCGGCGTAATTTTACAATTTAATTCATTTGTGTTTAATCCATTGAGGGATAATGGGGGAACAGATAAACATATGCCAAAAGATCATCCTGCACTTCTGTGCAGTCAAACCAGACTCTATACTGTTTGTTGCACAAATATGGTGTTTTTATCAGGGCTCATCCGGAAGGGCGATTCAGGCGAAAACTTCGCCGTGTATATTTCCATTTCGCTCTCCCAATTGATCAAAGAGAAGTCAACATCGCCGATAAAATCTTAATTCCCAAAGAGTAATTACTTGGCGATGTAAAGAGCAGAGATTGTATCCGCCCATATGACGACTGCTAATTATCATTATCCAATCAGAGCGTCGCTTTATACTACCCGTCTACCTGTATGCAAAGCGATAAACCGCCTACTCTAATCAGTAAATAATGAGAGCATCGGCCCGAAACGGGTATAATTGTGTGACAGTTTTGCGAGTTTAATACGGGATTAGGCGATAATTATATATTGTTTTTTCCCGATCATCTAAACACGTGCAAATCTTCCCTAATTGATATACACGCGGTGTTTAACCCGAGTAAAGGCGATGTGCAATGGTTTTTTCACGGCTATCACAAAACTGTTAGTCAATTTAAAATAATCAATTTCATTAATGATCAGCGACTGGATTAAAATCTTAATCATATTTTGAATGATTTCAGTCTGTTAACATCAAATAAAAATAGTTATGTCGCTCACGTCATGGCTACGAAATGCCCAAAGAAAGTTACTGATTCTGATACATCTACGCGAAAATTTAAGAAAGCCAATTCGCAAAAATCTTACGATTGGTATATTGTAGACAATGAGAGTGTTTGGCATTGTTATCTTTGTGGAAATGCCAAATTTGACACAGCTTACGCACGTGGGCACGACATCCCGGAAAAAGTACGAATCATGATCGGCATGCTACATATCGGTCGTATATCATGTGTACATGTATATAACAACAAAATTTGTCAGGAAAGAAGTGTTCTTATTGTTTCAATATAGATATGAGTTTTAATGTCATAAATATGACGCTCAGATTAAGATTTATCAATATTGTAAATATCAAAAAGCATTATTTATAAAGATATTGCCAGTTTAACATTTCATGAAAATAAAGGGAGGTAATTAGAAATTTATTTTCTATAATTTCTCAGTCAAAGTTTTCAATAAGAAATGAATGTATATAATTTTAGTGATCAAATATAATGTGCACAAATGTTTGCAGTACATATTTTACATATTCTTCGATGTTTGAAAATTGTTGTATAAACATAATTATAAGCACATAAATGTGGCATTACAACATTGAAGGTCATATCCAATGTAGATATTGTTAATCAATATCCAATGTAACTTTATCTTGTATGAAAAGTGAAGAAAATAATAATATAAAATTAGTTTATTCATCATATTTTTTCTTACACATTATTATCAATAAATCTACATGAAAATACATAAACAAATATTTAGAGAAAACTTATAAATAGCTGATAAATAGATTGTGTTTATATTATAGTTAAAGGATGTATAGTCATGCATGTTAATGCATACACATTGGGTTGTTTCCCTTCTCCCTATTTTTCGCGAGGAAGTCACTTCTCCCTAAAATTTCCACCCAGGATGAGCCCTGTTTATATTGAACAAAGGGAAGTCCCAAAATAAATATGGGACATGTCCATTATATCAATTCAGCAGGATAACCATTAACAGTTGTAATCCGGAAGTCGGCAAATGTGGGTTTTCCAAGCAGATCGCTAATCCCCGCCTCAATACAAACAAACTTTTACCATAATAGCTTCATGGCGCCGCATTACTGTTCAGAAAATGTAACTGAATGTTTTTGAAACTATCACTGTAAAACTTTGTTTGCACCCTCAATTTGCTGGGAAAACCCAAAAATATTCTTAATTCGGGAGTTAGTTTATTACATGATATATGCCAGTAAGCTACCATGTCCTTACCACTGACCTTACCAATGGTCACAAATTATCATAAAAACAATTGTGACCTATATCCATTAACTGTAGAACATTATGCTTTAATTACAGCAATATTCATACTGCCATATTGAAATATAATATCTGTAAATCCCCCCTCCTGTCTGTATGATAATTACTATTATTAACCAGCTAATGTTTCAACTAATCTGACCAACCATCGTCTGTAATAAAGCATTCACTAACTTTGATCTTTTTATTCTTTATTGCTTCACAGTGGCATTTAAGGACATCAAACTTGCAAGTATTTATTGAGAGTAAAAGGTTACACACAGGTTAAAACACAAATGTATATGAGCTGTGTCACGACAAAACCAACATAATGCATTTGCGATCAGCAAGGATCCAGACCAGCCTGCGCATCCGCGCAGTCTACTCAGGATCCATGCTGTTCGCTTACCAACTCTACTTCAAGTAGAGAAACTGATAGCGAACAGCATGGATCCTGATCAGACTGCGCGGATGCGCAGGCTGGTCTGGATCCATGCTGGTCGCAAACGCACTATGTTAGTTTTGTCGTGACACGGCTCATATATTTATGATTATTGAAATTAATTACTTATTCATAGACTTTTTAGGCTTACCATGTGTTTCTAGTTACACCAAACACATGTTAACCTCATGTCTAAAAGACAAGAATGCATGCCTTCCTTTTTTTTTGTTTGACATATATAAATTTCCTTTAATGGGTCGGGGTTGCAGTTAAACAATAAAATAATCTTATAATGATAACCTTCCAGAAAAAAAAAGAAATATGAAATGTCCTGGTTAGTTGAGAGTCAAGTGTAGATAAGAAGGCGACCTTATTCATACTAAGTAATGAAAACCACTACATTTCATTTATACCATTCATCAGAATTTTTACCGTGTTTGTCCAAGAAAAGCAATTTCAGTTTCTCCTTAAACACATTATAATATAATATCATTATGTATATAAATTTTCACCAAGAGTCACTAGAAAATTACAAGGAACTTGCATCTGGTGAACACAAACATTTAGATCAAAAATGCCTTTTCGTTTTTTCAGTTCAACATCTCAGCCGTTCAATCCAGATGTTGTTATAGCAGATTCGGACGAAGAAGATGAATTTGGAGAAATTCAGAGAGGGACTGTTATTCTAAAATCGGTAAGATTTTACACGAATTACAGGGATTTTTGTGGGCATTCAGTGTTTTCCTTATGAAACACATGAATATTGTTTGTTATAGGGACTATTTATTACCCGCTTTACCCTTTCTTTATGCCAGGAATCTATCCTGCTATATTATAGAATTAGGTTGGTGATTCTACTCATGAGTCTGAAATAATACTTGGAAAGGAAGCTGAAGTCCTCCTTGACCAGTTGCCTAATGACCTATACAGTGTTGTTTGACTCTCAAAACCCAGCAGAAAGGACATGTAAATAAGCTACTATTTCATGACGGAAAGACGGATATTTTTCTAAAAATATCAAATAAACTGTTTATAAAAATATGACAAATGGTGTTTTCACATTAGTGATATTCTAATTTCACATCTTAAAAGGAAGATTATTGTTATTTTCACAATGACTTTTACTCATAATGGTATGTTGGAATTTTATATTGTATTAATTTTACAGTAGGTAATAGTATGGCACTAACATACAACTCTTAAGTACACAGGCAATGCCAGTTGTGTTGTTGTTAATTAAAATGATTGTGAAGCACTCAAGATTTCCTGATTACCTAATTAACATAATCACAAAATGTATTAACACACAAGTATAAGTAAATTAGGAAGTGTGGGAAATCTCGCCATCAGTATCAATTGATAATTACCGGGTTTATTACCAGGGCAATGTACCTGGAAACCTGCTGTTCTAGTATACGGCCATTCACCTGTAGATCTATCCCATACCCAGCCACCTTGTTTACATGATCAACTCTGGTTGGCACTGTTTCCTGTAAATTGGCTATTTTGTTTGAATTAGGTATGTGAATGGGCCAGATATTCTTCTTTAGATGTAGATCAAAGAAATTCATAAATATAGTTTGTACATTATTTTATTCAGACTGTCTTGTTATGTAAAACATTATGCACTATACTACATTTTTTTTCTCATCAAAATTTGAATCTCAAGATACGGATACTTTAACCCTTTCGCTGCCAGAGGGTTATTGTTTTATTGATCACCTATTTGCCAGAGGGTTTTCTAAGAAATTACTATATTATTAATCAATATAATTATTATTATTTGTTATTAGTATTAAAATAATTATATATGTTTCCAAATCTGTTAGTATAATAATAATTATTGTTGATGGTATAATTTTCTTTATATTTATTATCATTTTTATTATAATTATTATTAATTTATTATTATTATTTTTATAGAAACAGCAAAAGCCGTCCATATGGCAAATAAGCTGAAAATAACAGGGACGGCATAATGGCAGTGAAAGGGTTAAAGCTTTTTTCTATATACTTTCTGATCATGGCCTTGTAATCAACACTTTATTCTTACTTGAATTCTTATATATAATCGAGAAAAATGCTCATGCTCATAAATAAAATCAGGAGAAAAAAAATCAAGGGGAAAAAATATTTATTCCCATTTATTCAACACAATAGTGACCTCATAATGCAGGTTAAGTATGAAACAATAGTGACCTCAGAATGGAGGTTAAATGTGCAACTTCCTTTCCTAAAATTTCTTATTTCAAATTTCAGTTTCAGAGAGCTAAACCACCAAGAAACCGTAGTCCAGCCACTAGAACTTCAAAAGGAAAAATTAGAAAACCAAGACCTGTAAGTATAAACAGATAAATCAAACACTCCATGTCACTGAAACTTATAGATTACTAAGTACCCACTTTTTTGAAGAGTGGCCGCAGAAGTTGCAGTAACATGAAGTGGTAGTTTCTGAATTTCCGAGAAGAGACAGATTATGAATATTATGTCAATTATCTGTCTTTGTACTCAGTAACCTTTCGTTTCATTTATTCATGATTAGTCAGTTGTGATTTAATATAAATAAAGTAAATAGTGGCATACCAATAATACTGATAAAAGCAACCTGGAAACCCTTGTTCTTGACTGCCATAATTATGGTAAGCCTCATGGACAGCCAGCTTGCAGTCCATTAACAACTCTCTATACTATGACATGCAGGTTATATATGTAACTTCCCCATAATGGTATCACTTTACAAAGCAGGTCAAGTGTTATAAGTGTTATACATATATTATTGTTTTGTATTATAGAATGCTAGGAACCAGGGAGACAAAAAAGAGGACAGGGAACCAACCTCTACAACCCCATCTAGTGCATCTGTTCAATTTTCCATGGCAACCAGTGACAGTAAAACTAACAGTCTTGAAAAATCGGAAACTAAAGTTCAGAACAACACTAGCAAAAATAATAGCTTAGAAAAGGTTAATGAACGAAAGAAAAGCCTCGAAAACAATTTTGAAAGTCCAATGTCTAAGTCAAGTAATTTTAGTGATTTTGATTCAATAATGAGTCAAAGTATAACAAGTGTAGGTAGTGATATTGTAACACCCATGAAACGGGAAACGGCTAAAAATGGAAAATTCGCAAAAACTAAAAAAGACTCTCCGAAAAGAGATAGAAAAGAATCACCCGCGAGATTAACGAAGAGTAAAGAAAGGGAGATTACTGAAAAGGACAAACGGAATGACTCACCAAGCAGGTTTAAGAAAAATAAGGATTCACCTGTGGAAAAACGTAAGAATCGGAGAAAGGAGGAGGATAGAATAAATAAGAATAGACTGTCGTCTGATGTAAGCGAAGACAAAGCTGTAACGAACTCTAGTAGGGAGAACAGGTTATCAGGAATCCCTGCCACTGCTAGTAATAATGCTAGTAACAATATATTCTTTTTGATTGATCCAACAGTAAAAGACAAGTGTAAATCTGTAGGTGATGTAACTAGAGATAAGAGAACATCTGGAGATTATAGCAGACATGCTCAAAAAGGTAGGTGATAGTTACTATAGTTACCATAATATATGTATATATCTATAGCTAAAATGACTAAGATTTCTATAATAAAGTATAAATTATAAATACCTCATATGAAAATAATGAACTTATAGGTAAAATCAAAGTCAGAGTAAAATTAAGAAAGACAACAAATGCCAATAAATAATTTGTTTAATCTGGTCAACTCAGGTTATTTAAACGCAATATGTAAACAATGTATATGCACACATTTTCTTATGAAACAAGATCTCATTTTTACCATAACCACCTTAAACTTATGTAATAGATTAGGTTTAAACATATTTTTATTCAAGGTAATATATACATGTTAATAATTTACAATTTAAGCAGAAAGGAATTGGACCGAGAGCTACAATAGCTTATGGTAGTCCTCTCCTTTAACAAAAGCAATATGTTCATATAATACATTTGTTTTACATTGAATTTGTTAATAAAGCACTAGGCAGTATACAACCAAGCCAATTGGACCTTAGTAATTGCTAACTACATGTACTCTGTTAATTTTCAATATCAGCATTAAAATCAATACTGAAATCCCTTTAACTACTAATATACTGATCCAAATTAAAAGTAGAACCAATCCAAATTTAAGGTACAACATGTCTATTACACTCATTCAGCAAGGTGTAGGTTAAAGTATCTTTAATATAAATCTTTATTTTCATTTTCAGCTGTAAAGCATCACTCTGAAGACAATCCATCTAAAAATCAGGTAAGTTTATCTCAATCAATAACTTACATTAAAACAACTACCATAATACAGTGACACCTGTCATTAAAGGCCAAGAAACTACATTTTGTATCATGCAGATTTTTTACCAAAAGATTGTCTCTAGAAACAAGTGTTTCAGTATACTATAAATGCATGGGTACAAGTCCAAAGTTCAGGTTTTTTTCTACTCTTAAAAGCTCTCTTTTTCTATATAAAACTAATTGAAATAATAGTTAATTCAGGGTTTTCTGGTATTTTAAACTTGCACCCATGAAAATTATCTAAAAGGAAAATTATATGATTGCCTTTAATGTAAGGTTTGTAGGTGGTTACTACAGTGAGGTTTGTCTGTATTTCATATTATTTTCAAAAGAGAAGGAAGAGTTTTCACAGTGTGTGTGCAAATGTTGTTTTGTTTCCTTTTATACATCATATCAAACAATGAAAACTTTAAACAATAGAAAATTTATAAATACAACTTACTTAAACGACACAGTCTATGACAATAAGATATTATACTTCATGTATGTAATTGTTTCTCTTTTAATAACTCAAGATAATAATTTAAAGCAAAATAGATATTATCCATCATGAGTATCATCAATCGAGCAAAAAAAAGTACCTATTAACCCTAAAGTACCTATTAACCCTAAAGTACCTATTAACCCTAAAAATGTTGAAACTTAGGGTGCAAAACCTTAGCCACCAGTATGGAGCCATGCCAGCTTGCACATGTATTTGTGTTCTGGTAATATCGAACTGCTGACCATTTTATCATGATACCCCTAATATTGTTAATGGTTTGTCCCAGAAATAAGAATTGGACAATTCCATTTAGAAAATTCAGCAGGGTTATAGTTAACTGAAAATATTTCAACTTTCATTTCAGGATGAGGACGATTCACTGGGTGCTGTTAAAAGGGAGAGAACTCTGTCAGATCCAAACAGAAAATCAGCAGAGTTAAAAACAAACACTCGTTAAAATAAACGTTTTTCTGTTCTAGTCTTATCAGTTAAATACAAAAGTTTTTCAAAATGCTTAGTTTTGCAGCAATTGAACATTTTACACACAACTTTCAATAGAAAGATGTCAATGCTTAAGTCTTTTGAATAATTTATCACTGGAACAAATTCTGTAAGTTGTAAACCACTGACTTTTTAAACGATACTTGTTGATATATGCTTGAGTGTTTAAAAGCTTTTGATATTTCAAGTGAGTTTCTATATTTGAAAATGGCTAAGAACATGTGACATTTTACTTTCAAGGAATTGTTCGGACAATCTGTATATTTTAAACCAAACTGTTGTTATAATTTACTTTCACATTCACTCATGGCCCAAGAGCAAGTTATACCATTTTCTTTCCAATTTGTGTTCTTTTTCAAGTTAGAAATATGTATTGTAGCTGGGTCAACACAACATAATTGTATAATGTTACTCATAAAATGTGACACATTGTGGGAGAAAGGTGCCAGTTGGTTGTAAGCAATCAATAACAGTTTTTTTAAAAAAAAAACCTATTTTCAGGTTATTTTATATTTCCTGTACAAGACAATGAATAAAACTATTATTATTATTATTATTATTATTAATTTTATTGTCAAAAAAATGAAAAATATTTGCATTTTCATAAATGACACCGATTTTATGACGATGGATAATTTACATGTTATTTTATTATGTACACAATTCCTGCCAACTAGCACTGTTTTCCTGTCACACACAACATAAGAAATTTATACATAAATGTTTTCATATGATATCATATAAAATATTAAATATATCAACAAATCATATTATTATGCAATTCCCCAAATGTTGTGTAAACAGAATCATATCATGTGTAAACACACCGTTAATTGTGTGGCATAGCCGCATAATGTGTTGACAGAAATGTATTTATCATCATATAACATGTATTTGAATGAAAATTCAGAATCAGAGCTTATGCAATTAAATTATAACACCCAAGTTGTGAAGGCAATATATGATGTGCCTTTTACATTTCAAATTAGGCCTGCGCAAATATCATCTTATATTGTGTACTAGAATTGGTCAGGCCAATTTTTAATTATATGCTTTTTGTATGACATTGTATTTTTATACAGTGAAATAAAACTATTATAAATGATTGTTTGTTGTTGCTATTGTCATTTATACATGCAAATAAAGTGAAACTACTATGAAATTACACTGAAACTTGAAAAAATTTTAAAACCACTTCTTAATTAAAACCACTTCAATGTTTGTATAGGACAATGGTTATTCAATGGCAATTAGCTTTTACCTGTAAAGATTACATTATTGAATATGCTATTCCAGCATTTTCATAGTGATGTATGGAAGAACATGAAAATAAAGTAAAAAGCCATACATTTTGTTGCTTAAAGGGTCTTTTCCCTTTATAATGTTACCTGTGATAAAAAGAGAAATGTTTTAATTGGAACCATAGATTTGCCCCCCCCCCCCCCCCCCCCAGTTTTATGTTTAAGATATTTCACAACATACATTTGTATTTTACATGTAAACATAAACTCTATAAAGATATTAAGCAGCACTTATTTCCAAATTTTACGACTAATTTAAATAGTTTAGGTGGTAATAAAACAAGAGGGCCATGATGGCCCTAGATCGCTCACCTGACCCATCAAACTCATCCAAACAATTACCTAGACAAGCATTCTGACCAAGTCTCATGACAGGTGAGTCAAAAATGTGACCACTACAGTGTTAACAAGGATTATCCATATTTGAGCAGTGCGACCTAGTTTTTTACCCAGGTGACACATATTCAAACTTGACCTAGAAATCATCAAAACAAACTTTCAGACCAATTTCCAGGATACTTGGATCAAAACAGTAGCAACTAGAGTGTTAACAAGATTTTTCTATTTTTAGCTCCGGTGACCTAGTTTCACATGCGATTTCGAACTCATCCAAGCAATTACCTAGACAAGCATTCTGACCAAGTTTGATGATAATGGAGTCGAAAATGTGACCACTAGAATGTTAACAAGGTTTTTCCATATTTGGGCGGTGTGACCTAGTTTTTCATCCAAGATGACCCATGTTCGATCTTGACTTAGAAATCATCAAAACAAACTTTCAGACCAATTAACAGAATATTTGGATCACAACAGTAGCCACTAGAATGTTAACAAGATTTTTCTATTTTTAGCTCCTGTGACCTAGTTTTTCATCCGAGATGTCCCATGTTCGATTTATTCCCAGCAATGACCTAGACAAGTTTCCTGACCAAGTTTGATGACAATTGAGTCAAAATTGTGACCACTAGAGTGTTAACAAGGTTTTTCTATTTTTAGCTCCTGTGACCTAGTTTTTTCATCCGAGATGACCCATGTTCGAACTCATCCGAGTTATTACCTAGACAAGCATCTTGATCAAGTTTGATGATGATTGATGCAAAAATGTGACCGCTAAAGTGTTAACAAGGTTTTTCTATTTTTAGCTCCGGTGACCTACTTTTTCATCCGAGATGACCCATGTTCGAACTCATCCAAGCTATCAACTAGATAAGCATCCTGACCAAGTTTGATGATGATTGATGCAAAAATGTGACCGCTAGAGTGTTAACAAGGTTTTTCTATTTATAGCTCCGGTGACCTAGTTTTTCATCCGAGATGACCCATATTCGAACTCATTCGAGCTATTATCTAAACAAGCATCCTGACAAAGTTTGATGATGATTGGGTCAAAAATGTGACCACTAGAGTGGTCACAAGGTTTTTCTATTTTTAGCTCCTGTGACCTAGTTTTTCATCAGAGATGACCCATGTTCGAACTCATCCAAGCAATTGACTAGACAAGCATTCTGACCAAGTTTGATGATGATTGGTTCAAAAATGTGACCACTAGAGTGTTCACAAGGTTTTTCTATTTATAGCTCCTGTGACCTACTTTTTCATCCGAGATGACCCATGTTCGAACTCATTCGAGCTATCACCTAGACAAACATCCTGACCAAGTTTGATGAAGATTGGGTCAAAAATGTGACCTCTACAGTGTTCACAAGGTTTTTCTATTTTTAGCTCTTGTGACCTAGTTTTTCATCTGAGATGACCCATGTTCGAACTCATCCGAGCTTTCAACTAGATAAGCATCCTGACCAAGTTTGATGATGATTGAGGCAAAAATGCGACCGCTAGAGTGTTCACAAGCAATTGTGGACGGCCGGACGGACGACGGACGACGGACGACGGACATTCATCGATCCTAAAAGCTCACCCTGAGCAAGCTCAGGTGAGCTAAAAACTAGAACTGTGTCCAAAGGACACGGATGCCCCCACTGACAACATATATATGGTATATAGTGAAAAAATCAACAAAGGGCCATAATTCTGTTAAATTTGGTCGCAGCAAAAATTCCTTCCTTTACTACTATCTACACATGAAGGTTGTTCATCCCTGGAAGTTTAAGCAAAATCTGCCATCCGGTTTAAAAGGAGTTGCGTTCACAAAATTTCTAATTATGGTATATAGTGAAAAAATGGAAGTGGAAGTTTAAGCAAAATCTGCCATCCAGATTAAGAGGAGTTGCGTTCACAAAGTTTCTATATGGTATATAGTGAAAAAATCAATAAAGGGCCATAATTCTGTTAAATTTGGTCGCAGCAAAAATTCCTTCCTTTACTACCATCTACACATTAAGGTTGTTCATCCCTGGAAGTTTAAGCAAAATCTACCATCTGGTTTAAGAGGAGTTGCGTTCACAAAATTTCTATATGGTATATAGTGAAAAAGTCAACAAAGGGCCATAATTCTGTTAAATTTGGTCACAGCAAAAAATCCTTCCTTTACTACCATCTACACATTAAGGTTGTTCATATCTGAAAGTTTAAGCAAAATCTGCCATCCGGTTTTAGAGAAGTTGTGTTCACAAAATTTCTATATGGTATATAGTGAAAAAATCAACAAAGGGCCATAATTCTGTTAAATTTGGTTGCAGTGAAAATTCCTTCCTTTACTACCATCTACATATTAAGGTTGTTCATCTCTGAAAGTTTAAGCGAAATCTGCCATCCGGTTTAAGAGAAGATGCGTTCACAAGATTTCGGGACGTACGGACAGACGGACGGACAAGTGCAACGCTATATGCTCCCACTCTGTGGGGGCATAAAAATAAACATTCAAATACACGACAGTCAAACCTGGCAATATCAAACTACTTTTGAGATATTATACAACTGTAATTATGTACTTAGTGCAAATCAAAGCAAAATACAACGTATGAGTTAACAAATTTGGCATGCAAAGTAACATTGAGATCAAATTATTTTTTAGCTCACAAAGTGACAGGGTGAGCTTTTGTGATCGCTTTTCGTCCGGCGTCCGTCCGTCCGTCGTCCGTACGTAAACTTTTACTTTAAATGACATCTCCTCATAAACCACTGAGCCAATTTCATCCAAACTTCACAGGAATGTTCCTTTGGTGGTCACCTTTATAAATTGTTCAAAGAATTTAATTCCATGCAGAACTCTGGTTGCCATGGCAACCGAAAGGAAAAACTTTAAATATCTTCTTTTAAAAAACCATTAGAGCTAGAGCTTAGATATTTGGCATGAAACATCTTCTAGTGACTGTCTACCAAGTTTGTTCAAATAAAAGCCCTGGGGTCAAAATTGGCCCCGCCCTGGGGGTCATTGATTTTCCCTATATGCATATAGTAAAAACTTAAAAAATCTTCTTTTAAAGAACCCAAAGAGCTAGAGCTAAGAAATTTAGCATGAAACATGTTCTAATGGGTGTCTACTAAGTTTGTTCAAATAAAAGCCCTGGGGTCAAATTTGGCCCCGCCCCGGGGGGTCATTGATTTTCCCTATATGCATATAGAAAAAACTTAAAAAATCTTCTTTTAAAGAACCCTAAGAGCTATGGCTAAGATATTTAGCATCAAACATGTTCTAATAGGTGTCTACCAAGTTTGTTCAAATAAAAGCCCTGGGGTCAAAATTGGTCCCGCCCCGGGGGTCATTGATTTTCCTTATATGTGTATAGCGAAAACTTATTTGAACAAACTTGGTAGACACTCATTAAAAGATGTTTCAAGCTAAATATCTTAGCTCTAGCTCTTTTGTTTTTTTTTAAAGAAGATTTTTAAAGTTTTTTCTTTCGGTTGCAATGGCAACCAGTGTTCGGCCGAAAAGCGATCACAAAAGCTCACCCTGTCACTTTGTCACTTTGTGACAGGTGAGCTAAAAATGAGATATAATCTGTATCATATCACTCTACAGAAAACACTGACTGCCAAAACTTAAACTGTATCTTCACAATGCGAAACTTCTTAACAGTACCCCTACCATACTGAATTTGCCATGCTTTAAAAATATAACTGTCAGTTGAGTGTTTATAAAAAAATTCAGTATCAATGTATCAATAACAGGGACATTAATATACGCTGGAATGCAAACTTCTTTGAGACATAAACAATAATGAGAGAGACACATTTATTTAATTTATCTGAAACAAGTTTTATATTATTTATATTCCATATGATATAACAAATGACAAGGAAATGTTTAACACAAAATTTCATTAAGATGTCAAGTTACATTTTGTTCCTCTTATCTTTAAAGCTACATGCCTCCAGATGAGTCAAAATATTTCAATAAAATCAAACTTGACAAAAATGTACTAAGATGTAAGTAAAAGTAAAAAGTTACAAGATTCAAGTAATATTTTACATATTATGTGCGATTTAAGACTGATTTTTCAGTATTATAGTACAATTATTTTTCTACTGCGTTACTAAAAGCAGTAAAGGCTATTTATGCATATTTTGACCACTTTTTGGTAATTTACAATGTACATGGTTTGTAAGTGCCATTGATAATGTGTAAATTGCTTCCTTTTGGTTACTTAACAATATTACACATTCAAATACATTTTCAAAATTTTCATGAAAATTAGCATGAATCTGAAGGCATTGCTTGATTTAAGAGATATAATTCGGAATATATTTCTGTTACAAAGTTTTCAAAGATGTTAAAGTGTTATATAGATATATTTCTGTTGTCTGCAGTTTTTAACATAATTTTTTTAATTTTCAAAAAGAATATTTTATAACATACCAGTATGAAAAAGATATGTTCATATACTTCTGAGTGAATTGTGCATGCTCAAAACCATTTATTAGGACTCTACTTAAAAAAATGTTTTATAATATATTCCAGTAAAATTTTAATTCAAATCACTTACATTATTCATGTGCGTTTAATAATAGAGACATTATATTGTTACAACTTCTTCATGAATTGATGGTAAGATTATGGAAACAAAACAACTATCTGATCTTGCTCAAAATTTATCAATTGCTTACATTTCGAGGGGGAAATATTCTGCTCTTTTCCAAATAGTTTGCTGTTTATTTTATGAATCAAATATTAATTTTCTTTTTTTCTTGAATTTCTTGCATTTAGTTTTTTTACAAAAAATACAGGACATGATGTCATCGATGTCAACAATACAAATTATGCAATAACTGATGATGACTGTTTCTGTCAAATTTGTGAATCTGCAGAATGTTTGAATAGAGAATCTATAACTCACAGTTAGTGTTGTTTCCTACTTAATATAGTTATGTTTTTTTTGTTTTTTTAATATATGTTTAAATGCTTACTTTATTATTTAAATAGAAAGAATTATATACATAATTAAGCCTTATATTATCATGTATTTTCAGAATTGACATAATATAAACAAGAGGACCATGATGGTACTGAAATCGCTCACCTACATACAGAAACTCTCCATGACAAGGAACAATTAATATTGTTAACTATAAACAAAAGCATAATATAAAATCTAAATCTTAAACTGATATAACAAAGTTCATATTTGTATCTGAAATAGTGCATGTGTACCACTGGAGGTGAACCTTGAGGCCCTCCGGAAGACTGCACATTTCATCGCTGTGGCTGGGGTGACGTTGTAGAAGGGTGAACGACAAGAAGAAGAAGAAGTGCATGTGTAAAACATGACTGGTTGCTATAATGCTAAGGGAAAACAACAGTTCCAAAATGTGTACATATAAGGAAAATTAATGGCCCCCTGGGTCGGGCCAAATTTTTACCCCAGGGCTTTCATTTGAACAAACTTGTATTGGTAGACACCCATCAGAAGATGTTTCATGCTTAATATCTAACCTGTAGCTCTTTATGTTTTTTAAAAGAAGAATGTTTAAGTTTTTCCTGTATACATATAAGGAAAATCAAGACCCATGGGGTGGGGCCAATTGTGACCCCAGGGCTTTTCTTTCAATAAACTTCGTAGACATTCCCTAGAAGATGCTTTGTGCCAAGTATCTAAGCTCTAGCTCTTTGGGTTTTTAATAGAAGATTTTTAAGTTTTTTCATTCGGTTGCCATGACAACTAGAGTTCTGCATGGAATTAATTATTTTGAACAATATTTAAAGGTGACCACAAAAGGAACATTCCTGTGAAGTTTGGATGAAATTAACTTACCTGTTTTTGAGAAGATGTCGTTTAAAGTAAAAGTTTACGGATGGACAGACAACGGAGGGACAACGGACTGACCGAAGGACAAATTGTGATCACAAAAGTTTACCTTGTCAATTTGTGACAGGGATGAGCTAAAAATCTAAAACGGGCATTTTTCAATTGACTCTTATAACATCTCTAAGTAAAAGGAAGCAAGTTATTTTTTCCTTTCATTTCATTCGAAACCAATAGAGGAAATAAAAATAGCAAAATTTCCACCTATCTGATCCAAATGAAAGAAACAGTTTTTCTTGATTATTTCTATGAAACACTTTTAACTACAACATTCAAAGTAAGTGTAAAACTTTAAATTATATACACAATTTCACATTTATATAGAATGAATTATGTAGGAAAGTAGTTCAGGTGATATTTCAGACAGTGTTTTAAATTTTTGTGTCCCCTTTTTTCAATCTAAAAATTACATATTTGTTTCATTTAATTATAAATTAGGAAATATACAAAATTAAATTTTATATTATCATGTAATTTATTGTGGTGTTATATGTAAAATTCCACATATCTGGTCAAATGTTTTTCTTGATTATTTCTATGAAATTCTATTAAATTCAATATTCAAAGTAAGTTTAAAACTTTATCTTATATACACAATTTCAAAATTATGTTGAATGAATTTTCATGTAAGAAAATTTTTAAAGGGAAATTTATTAGGTCATGTTTTTAAATTTAAGGGGCCCCTTTTTTTAAAAAAAATATTCTATTTTAAAACAAGGGGCGATAAGTAAACATGGGGTGCCTATGGATGGCCAATTTCATGTTGGGACAAATTTTGTGACAGACGGACAGACAGACGGACAGTGCACAACTAGACTAACAACTTTGTACTGATCATCCCTGTAAAGTTTGGATAAAATTGCACCAGTAGTTTATGAGGAGTAGTCCGGACAAGCTTTTGCGTATCTGGCAAACACACAGAAAAAAACACCTTTTTATCAAAGGGCCATAACTCAGCCAAAAATCATTCAACCGGAAAACCCGTGCAATATGCGCAAGGACTTGAGCTACAGATCAATCCTGTAAAGTTTCATTGAAATTGCATAAGTGGTATAAGAGAAGTAGTGTGGACAAACTTTAAAAATAAAAATTATAAAAGGGCCATTACTCAAACAAAAATCATTGAACCGGAAAATGCTGACAATATGCACAACTAGACTTGGTACTGATCATTCCTGTAAAGTTTGGATGAAATTACACCAGTAGTTTATGAGGAGTAGTCCGGACAAGCTTTTGTGTATCTGGCAACACTCAGAAAAAGAAACCTTTTTATCAAAGGGCCATAACTCAGCCAAAAATCATTCAACCGGAAAACCTGTGCAATATGCGCAAGGACTTGAGCTACAGATCAATCCTGTAAAGTTTCATTGAAATTGCATTAGTGGTATAAGAGAAGTAGTCCGGACAAACTTTAAAATTAAAAATTATTAAAGGGCCATTACTCTGACAAAAATCATTGAACCGGAAAATCCTGACAATATGCACAACTAGACTTGGTACTGATCATTCCTGTAAAGTTTGGATGAAATTGCACCAGTAGTTTATGAGGAGTAGTCCGGACAAGTTTTGTGACGGACGGACGGACAGACGGACGGACAGACAGACGGACAGACGGACAGACAGACGACGGAGAAGTGATCCCTATATGTCGCCATTACTCCGTAGAGGCGACACAATAATAGAAGAAAAATACCACAACCAAATAGAAAAAAATGCAATATTCTTTGTCAATTGATAACTATCCCAACTTATTTATCTTATGTTTCATAATGTCCATATTGACTCTCCTGTTCTGATCTGTTCTAGGGCATAAGGACAAATGTATGTGACAAAATTAAATTGGTGGCTGACTTTAACAATTTTTCTTTTACTAATATATTACAGAATGTTTCAAGAACCTGACTACAGAGAACACCTATCACTGATGTTATCAGAGGTTTTAGATGACATTGGTGTCAATGAAAGATTAGTGATGAGAAGGAGAAGAGAGAACATGCTGGGGGAGACTATGTGTAATATTGAGTACAGGTTAACTGATAAAAATGGAACTGTATATAATTCAGGGAGTCAGAGTGAAGGTACAACTACTATAGGACTTAATTCAGATATGGATTTACTATATTGTATTCATGATTACAATATAATACAAGACTGGTCAGAGTGGGAACATGGCAAGGAAAACTACCTCATGATACAGGATGAGAACACTACACCTGGTTATTGTTTCTTACAACTGCTCAGAGCTGATGAACCTCTTCCTCTTACTGTCATTCCTGATGGAAACTATATCACGGATAGAAGGGGAAGAATATTGCTTAAAAACACAATCATAAATGATTTGCCTGTGGCTGCTGGTCAGCAGCATGGACCATCTATTGCTACACAAGGACAACCTGGAGTAAGTGATGTAGACAACGTGTTAGCTCTTCCATGTAAATCATGGCCTCAATCAGCATCAGGTTGGTTAGATAGACAGGGTATTGGCAGATGGCCAACACAAGAGATGAAGAGACATGCAGCCAGTACTGGGTGTTTTGTTGTTGCAACTGGAAGTAGGGTCAGTGAATATCCAGAACTGGAATGGAGAATATCTACATCAGTGGCAGAAAGATGCCTGATGTTTAATCTAAATATAACACAAATAAGGTGCTATGTGTTGTTGAAAATGATCCTTAAATCATTCCTTAATCCTCAAGGGGAAATCAATATTTCAAGTTTTATGTGTAAAACAGTTCTATTACATTGTATAGAAAACACAGAGTCACGGATATGGAAAGAAAACAATTTATTTTCATGTTTAACATACTGCTTATTGCAATTACACAGTTTTGTACAGAGTGATTGTTGCTCACATTTCATTATATCAGAAAATAATTTGATGGCAGGGCAATTTACAGCTGACACAAAGCATGAACTTTCAAAAAATATTTGTGAACTTATACAGAATGATAGACACCAGTTACTAAGTATTGATATTGATGATCTTGGTCATAGACTTCAAGTTAAACTGAACATGGCACCAAATGGAGTTTACTATTTTCTGTCTTCTCTTCAAATTTATGAACTTGTTTTGACCATGCAATATATGAATAGTGCACTAGAGATAAGTAGACGGCATAAGAAATATTTAGGATATTTACACAATAAAAACATAAGAACAATAAATCAATGTGTAGGTAAATTAATTACCTTCGCTCATAATGGTAATAGATTAGAACAGACTGCAGTAAAGCTTGTAGCACCTTTTCTTTTCACCACATACGGATCTATCCTAGCATCATCAAGCATTGTAGAAAATAATCAAGTGTCACCTGAATCATTGGTTTGGCTATCAGCTGGTTTAAACTCAGATATCTCATCTAGCAGACTTAAATTGGCCGCAGTGTTCTACAGTACAGGAGATATGGAGAAAGCTGAACAAATACTAAGACACACTGAACAACAGTATTACTCTTATCCTGTTGTATCTATCTGTAGCTGCTGGTGTACGCCTCCACCAGCACAAACAGCAGAATTCAAGAGGGTATGTGGTGAACAAAGTGAGGACTGTATCAAACATATTACAGCATTTTGTGTCAAATTCATACAGAAAGAGATCAACTGTATTCCTCATGAACTACAATATGAAATGTTCAGATCTACACAAGATGACATGATACACAGACATCAGTTTGACTATTGGATGGACTGGGCTGTAGTTGATTCTCTACCTTTTCTATATTACCTACAATACAAGATCTACAGTCGTCTACAAAGATATCAAGATCAACAACAAGCACTTAGTAAACTTATAAGAACCATAGTAAATGATGAAAACCTTCGACATAGAGAAACAGCTCTAAACATCTTAGGGCAATGTATGGAACAAGAACACAGACCACAACAAGCATTAAACTGCTACCTGCTTTCTCTTCAACAAAGGGCAAGAAACAATGTAGCAAACATACATATATGTAAACTCTTTTCCAGCATATTGAATAGGCAATGAAATGGGGTCAAAACAGACAGTATGAAGTATCACTATCAATGATCATATACTGATTGTCTCTATCAGACTTATTCAAATGTTAAATAATAGACTTGTCATCATTCTTTTTATCACATTTTATTTTGAAATAACATTAATCATGTTAAATTAAAAGAATGAATCAGACTTCAATAACTTTCTATTTTTACATTTGAGAGATAATTGAGAGATAATTGAGAGATAATTGAAAGATAATTGTGAGATAATTGAGAGATAATTGAAAGATAATTGAGAGATAATTGAGAGATAATTGTGAGATAATTGAGAGATAATTGAGAGATAATTGAGAGATAATTGAAAGATAATTGAGATAATTGAGAGATAAAGAGATAATTGAGAGATAATTGAGAGATAATTGAGAGATTAGAGCCTCTTGTGAAGAGGACAATATTACTCATGGAAATCAATTTTAAATTTCTGTTTATGATGATGAATATTTTTCCTCAATCTTTATTTACACAGAAGTCAAAACTGTTTTAGCTGTCACCTATATAAATATAACTTCTAGTGTTGGCAATGATTATTTATTAAAAGTTTTGGATTAATATATGTACCTTGTATATATAGTCTTGTTCTTACTTCATATATGTACCTTGTATATATAGTCTTGTTCTTACTTAATAATATATGTGCCTTGTATATATAGTGTTGTCCTTCTTTATTATATTTACCCTGTATAATATAGTCTTGTTTTTATTAAATGTAATGTACCCTGTATAATAACATGACCCTGTCAGCAGCCACCATTGTCTCGGGTCAATTAGAATAATGTTAATGTCAACTGCAGAGTGTACAAAAAAAAAACGTCACGACAAAACCAACATAATGGGTTTGTGACCAGCATGGATCCAGACCAGATCCATGTTGTTCGCTTACAGACCCTATAACAAGTAAAGAAACTGCTTGCGAACAGCATGGATCCTGATCAGACTGTGCGGATGCGCAGGCTGGTCTGGATCCATGCTGGTCGCAAACCCACTATGTTGGTTTTGTCGTGACACGGCTCAAATAATGGTTCTTTATAGCCCACTGGTATCCATCTCTAGAAAAGATCACAATTCTTAAATGCAAAAGTAGGTCATAAAACTAAGATTAATTTGGTAGAACTAAAATCTTTTATACATTCTTTAAAACTAGGTTGGATTAGACGCATTTTACATGAAAACAAAAAATGGAAAAACATCTTTGAAAATTCTTATCCTGATATATGTAATTTTTCCAAATTCGGACCAGATTTTATTAACAAGAGCTGTCCGTAAGACAGCGCGCTCGACTTTTTTATTGCTTGCCAATAAAAAAAGTTTTTGCAGTAAAAGGCAATACAAGAATCTCTGTATTTTTAAAGTGAACTAGTTGTTTGATACCCTTGAATATTACAGCAATGTTTATATGACATAATTTATGGTAAAGTGAACAAGTGGATAGGAATGAATTTTTTTAGATTTTTTAAGTTTTTTAGTGCTTGCCTATAATACAAAACATTGACAGTTAAGGGCCATAATTCAAATAAAATCTTTGACAGAATTACCTTCTCCTGGACATGTTTGGGAATCATGATTGTAAACAAGTATTCCAACTTTCAAATTAATATCTCAAACAGTTCAGTCAAAAAGTGGACTGGTACTAAAAACTTAACCAAGATTCTAAGTCGATAAAAGGCCTTAATTTTTAAAACAAATCCTTGACAGAGTTACCTTCTCTTGCGTACAGATGGGGGTAATGATGTGAAATAGCATTAAAAGTTTCAAAGCAATATCTCAAAGGGTTAAGGCAATAAGTGGATTTTACCCATATTCAATGTATTTTCTAAGTCAAAAGGGGCATAATTCTGTCAAAAACCTTGACAGAGTTATGTCCTCTTGTCTGTTGATGAAGGTCGTGATGGTAAACAAGTATGGTCAGTTTCAAAGCAATACCTCCAATGGTTTTGAAAATAAAGTGAGGTGGTACAAAAAACTTAACCAAGCTCAATACACTTTCTAAGTCAAAAAAGGGCCATAATTCTGTCAAAAACCTTGACAGAGTTATGTACTCTTGTCTGTAGATGGAGGTTATGATGGTGAACAAGTATGGTAAGTTTCAAAGCCATACTTGTAATACTTCTGAAATAAAGTGGGGTGGTACGAAAAACTTAACCAAGGTGTGACGCCAACGCCGACGCCGGGGCGAGTAGGATAGCTCCCCTTTTCATAGAAAAGTCGAGCTAAAAATCAATTATCAAGAATCGACAACCCCTTCTGGAACGAAGTCTTTACATCATGGTTAACGTTTTATCCGAAAGTACAAATAACAAATTGGAATGAATATCTCAGGCAACCAATTTGGTTCAATCCAACAGTGAAGGTTGGAGGCACAACAATCTTTTACAATAACCTATTTCAAAATGGTATAACTTTTGTCGCTGATTTAATTGACAATAACGGTCAATTCTATAGTTTACAAGCTATACAAAATATTTTACAAGTTAATATAAATTTCCTACTATATGAAGGACTTTTAAGAGCTCTAATAAATCTTAGAGTTAAACTTGAAATCAATAATGAAACTTCTAACACTTATAAACCAATTATCCCAAAGCAAATTCAAGTTATCATGCAAAATGTAAAGGGATGCCATTCTATTTATGAAAAACTTGTAAAAAATAGAAAAGTTCCGAAATCTCAAGATAAATGGAAACATGAACTATCATTACCAGAAAATTTCGAATGGAATAAAGTCTTAGAATACTACTATTAACAAAATAACATCAGATACAAACTTAAGATACTTTCAATACAAATTAATAAATAGAATTTTAGCAACAAATACTTTTTTAACTAAGATTGGAATAAAAGATAACAATACATGTACTTTTTGCAGGGAAAGTAACGAAACACTTTTACACTTGTTTTATGAATGTCGGTATGCGAGTCATTTTTGGCGGAATTTAAAATTTTCCATTAAAACTAAATGCCCGAATATTGCAGATTATGAACTCTCAAAAAGAAAAAATTCTTTTTGGTATAACTGATCCTAAGAAAATGGACGAAACATTAAATTTTATTTTTCTTATTCCAAAAAGATATATTTACACGTGTAGGTATAATAACCAAAATTTCAACATACAAACTTTTCATAAAACGTTAGTTTTCCATTATAATGTAGAAAAGTATATCCAATATTCTTCTTGTAATTGGGATAAATTCAATAGTAGGTGGTCTCCCTATCAAACTCTTGTCGACGTTCCTAACTGATAAGTTTCTGAACATACTTTTACCTTATATTAAAACACAAGGAAATTAACTGCTAAAAAATCAGTCTTAACAAAAATAATAATAAATTATATTACCATCCAAAGTCGGAGATGTGCCATATACATATAGAGTGTTTTATTGGCCGTATTTTAAAAATAATGTAATAAATATATTTTTGGTGACACATCATAAAAAAGCTTCAGGCAACTAGTATATTGTACATACTGCATTACATATTTTACACTTCTAATGTTGATAAGAGATGATATAATGTTTATATGATATAGAATCATATCTATACAGTCAACTATCGTTATCTCGACATCGCTTTTCTCGATATTTCGTTATCTCGATGAAATTTTGAAAGTCCCGATTTTCTTCCTTCTTTATCTATATTGGAAATATTTGTTTATCTCGATATTTCTATTTCGATATTTTCAGTATCTCGATGTAAAATTTCAGCCCCAACAGTTATTTTCACACTACTATCCTTTGTTTATCTCGACTTCGTCTGTTCCCTTCAGACGTGTGAAAAACACAATCTAGACGATAATTGCTCAATTAATAGCGCGTGTCATAATGACGATTATGTTTGTAACAAGTTTAGCTGTTTTTATAAAAGTTAATCTATTTAGCGTGTTGATTGACTTATGTCCACAATGAGTGAATTTTACATTCTTTTTAAATATTCGAACACTGTATCAATTCATTATGACTTTAAATGTAAATGAAAAAGTGAAAGTATAGAAACGCTATCGTTGCAATATTGTTTCACAACATCACCACCAAATCAATCAGCGATGGGACAATCTCGAGAAAGACCCGATAAATAACCCGGGAGGATATCCGGATCAACCATATTCGATATCCGATTCACTATATTGGTGTATTACTGAGTAAACCTCACTATGTGTTTTTATCACAGACACCCGTATTTCCGCTGGTAAACATCCGCTTATGTTACTTTGTTAAATATTGACTAGGCCTATGAAAACAAGACATGGGGATATTATAGTTTATTTGACATAAGGTATGCACATGTCTTTTGTAAAAATCAGTTTCGCCTTGTTCTAACCCTAATTTGTTTATCTCGACATTTCGTTATCTCGATATTTTTTGGACGGTCCCAATGACTTCGAGATAACGAGAGTCGACTGTATTAAGATTGTTGGAACTATGGCCTGTGCCACCTGTACATATGGCTCATCATGAAGTCGGGGGTACTCCTGACTCCCGACAACCTTTGGAGGTCGAGGGTCGGGAGAGCAACTGGCATGGCCTGGGGCGCGCGTTGTCGCAGGAAGACCATTTTGGAGCTTCTAGGCCCCATGTCATGCTCTGGTTGAGTTCAGGTCCACGATAGAGTGGGCAGAGACTATCAGTTCCGGTTGATTTTAATATTATTTGAGTCTTATGTTTTATGTAAATGGGAGCTCTGAAAAACTACCTTTTTTCGAAGATTATAATAAAGGGAAATAAATAAGTTAACGTATTTTAGAAAATTTATGGTAGTTATCCTTCTTTATGTGACATGACTTTTTAGAAGCATAGCAATGCTAATGTATATGGAATTATTTCACTTTCTTTCTTTTACAAGATCTTGTTTTTTTTTTGTATTTATACACATATTTAAGCTTCTTCAATTATTAAATATAAAGATCCTGTGATGAGAGTAGTATTTTGATCAACTATCTCGTTAGGAGACATGAAATGTGGTTTATTTTAATGGAGATAATCCTTGTCTGCGATGTTTATAAATAAATATACCTACCATATATGTTAACATAATACTTTTATATAATATTTTTCAACTCTTTATTCAATAAGTATCCACGGGAAGACCTAATTTGTTTTTTCGCATACACTTTTTGTTAAGGTTATCTTGCTGGAAAACTTTTGGACGACAGGATAAAAAATAAAATAATATAAAAAAACTGTATAAAAATGAAAGTAAAATCATCTCAAAAACCATCTGTACATAATTATTATATAATTTTATTGTAAACCATTGTTTTCTTCTAACGTTCTTTTTATTCTTTTTATATTTCTCTCATCAATTTCAAAATTTATACTATAAATGTAATGCGAAAATCTTATGTCTCCTTTTATTTAATCTTAGGTCTCCTTTTTGATCTTATAAAATGTTTAAAGATTTAATTGTATGATGTGTATTTGCATGGCTATGTATGATTATATGATTGTATGTTTAGTTGATTTATTAATAAATGGGGTTCCACATTTGTGGACCTGAAGCAAAAAAAAAAAAAAAAAGATTAATTTGGATCAAAGGGACATGATTTATCTAACTTTTAAAGAGGTGCACTAGGCAATGCTACATGATAAAAATCATA